CTTGTTTGTGTATCCAGTCTGATAGTCTGCGTCTTTTTATTGGGGAATTGAGACCATTGATGTTAAGAGATATTAAGGAAAAATGATTGTTGCTTCCTGTTATTTTTGTTATTAGAGGTAACGTTATGTTTGTATCTTTTTTGGGGGTTGTTGGAAGATTACTTACTTGCTTTTCCTAGGTTGTAGTTTCCCTCCTTGTGTTGGCATTTTCCATCAATTATCCTTTGAAGTGCTGGGTTTGTGGGAAGATATTGTGCAAATTTGGTTTTGTCATGGAATATCTTGGTTTCACCATCTATAGTGATTGAGAGTTTTGCTGGGTATAGTAATCTGGGCTGGCAATTGTGTTCTCTTAGTGTCTGTATGATGTCAGTCCAGGCTCTTCTGGCTTTTATAGTCTCTGGTGAGAAGTCTGGTGTAATTCTTATAGGTCTGCCTTTATATGTTACTTGACCTTTTTCCCTTACTGCTTTTAGTATTTTTTCTTTGTTTTGTGCATCTGATGTTTTGATTATTATGTGACGGGAGGTATTTCTTTTCTGGTCTAGTCTATTTGGTGTTCTGTAGGCTTCTTGTATGTTTATGGGCATCTTGTTCTTTAGGTTAGGGAAATTTTCCTCAATGATTTTGTTGAAGATATTTACTGGCCCTTTAAGTTGGGAATCTTCATTCTCATCTATACCTATTGTCCTTAGGTTTGGTCTTCTCATTGTGTCCTGGATTTCCTGGATGTTTTGAGTTAGGAGTTTTTTGCATTTTGCATTTTCTTTGACAACTGTGTCAATATTTTCCACCATATCTTCTGCATTTGAGATTCTCTCTTCTATCTCTTGTATTCGGTTGGTGATGCTTGCGTCTGTGACTCCTGATCTCTTTCTTAGGTTTTCTATCTCCATGGTTGTCTCCCTTTGAACTTTCTTTATTGTTTCTATTTCTAGTTTCAGATCCTGAATGTTTTTGTTTAATTCCTTCTTTGTGTTTTCTTCCATTTCTTTAAGGGATTTCTGTGATTCCTCTTTAAGGGCTTCTATCTGTTTACTTGTACTCTCCTGTATTTCTTTAAGGGAGTTACTTAATTCCTTCTTATAATCCTCTATCATCATCATGAGAAGTGATTTTAATTCTGAATCCTGCTTTTCAGGTGTGATGGGGTGTTCAGGGCTTGCTATATTGGGAGAATTGGGCACTGATGATGCCAAGAAACTTTGGTTTCCGTTGCTTATGTTCTTGCGCTTGCCTTTCGCCATCTGGTTAACTCTAGTGGTACCTGCCCTCTCTGTGTAAAACTGGAGTCTGTATTTCCAGTTATCTTGCTTATTGCAGAGCTCCTCAGAGTCCAGAGGTCTCTGTGGTCTTATGCTCCTAATCTCCTGGGTGGAATAACTCCTGGGACTCAGGCCACCTCTTGGATCTGGAAATCCTTCTGCTCTGAGTGCAGTGGGTCCTCGATGACTCAGGATTCAGTTTCAGCTGCTCTGAGTGCAGTGGCTCCAGCTGCTCTGAGTGCAGTGGCTCCTGGATGACTCAGGATTCAGTTTCTCAACAGGACAGGAGCAGACCGACTCTGTGTCAGCTGCTCTGAGTGCAGTGGCTCCTGGATGACTCAGGATTCAGTTTCTCCACAGGACAGGAGCAGACCAACTCTGTGTCTGCTCCAGCCCAGAGGACCAGGCAGGGGCAGAAGGGAAGTGGAATTCCGGAGGGGCGGGGTTTGGGTAGCTGCTGTGCCCTGGATGTCCCTGGCTCCCCGATCTATCTCTGGGGTTTAGGGAGTGAGATGGAGATCTTACCAGCTGCTCTGAGTGCAGTGGCTCCTGGATGACTCAGGATTCAGTTTCTCAACAGGACGGGAGCAGACCGACTCTGTGTCTGCTCCAGCCCAGCGGACCAGGCAGGGCAGAAGGGCCCACTACATTTTTAGCATCCTAAAAGAAAACTCCTTAACTGCTAGCAGCCGTCCTCCGTTTCCCCCACCCATCTCCTAGCAACCACTGGTCTATGTTGTGCCTTGATTGGTATGCATATTCTGGGTATTCTGTGTCAGTAGAATCATAGCATGTCCCTTTGTCGCTGGTTTATTTACTTTGTCTTGAAGGTTCATCCATTTTGCCGCATGCATCAGACTCTCACTGACAGCTGACGGTGTAGCTCAGTATGCGCTCAGCATGGGTAAGCTCGGCACAGATTCAATTCCCAGCACTACGAACTCTCACCCAACAGCACAGAAGACACTAAGATCTTTCATTAATTATGGCTAAGGACATTCCCATCATGCATTTCTATCACACTTCCTTCACTGGGATAGCTTTTGTCATCATAACAAGATATCTGGGGTAGTTACCTGATGAAGTAAAGGGGTTCGTTTCTCAGTTTTTCAGACTCTAGAGCATTGAACCTGTGGCCCATCACCCAGGGATTCCACAGCAGTGCGGTCACTTACGTCATAGGCTTGTTTAGATATGAACTCTAACCCCGAAGGCCCCATGGCTTGGACTCCACTTGTGGCACCACAACAATGTGGTAGAAGCTTTAGAAGTAGGACCCAAAGTAAGTAAGAAGGAGAAAGAGTTTACATCAACAGAAGCCTGTGTTCAAAGGAGACATTAGTAATCTGGTTCTAGTCATATCCCCACCCTTCTCCTTCTTCCCCCCTCCTCGTGTGTGTGTGTGTGTGTGTGTGTGTGTCTGTCTGTCTGTCTCTGACTCTCTTTCTACCCAGATGCAGCCTTTTCTGTTTTTACCCACCACGATCTATCCCAAAGACAGAGAACATGGGAGACCATGAGCCAAAATAATCTTTCCCTCCTTTTAAGGATAGTCTCAAGTATTTGTCTGGGCAGTGAATGACTGGTAGGCAAAACCTGAATAGCTCACAGTTTTGACTATCTCCCAACAGGACCACCCCAGGGAGCAAGCCTTTGATACAGTCCTTAGGGTAATGTTCGGCTTGTAAGCTACAGCATTTATCTCTTTTTCTGTTGAGCCGATTCCACTGCCTAAGAAGACTGTGGCTGTGAACATTCATGTTGAAGTTTTTGTATCCGTATAAGAATTTAGTTCTCTTGGCTATACATCTACGAGGAGAATTGCTGAATCCGGTTCAACTCTATGTGACCCTGTTTAATTCTCAGAGAAATTGTCAAACTGTTCTGCGGCAGCTGCACCACCTCATGTGGCACCATATGGGCATTTCATATTGTTTCCCCAAATCCTTGCCAAAAATTTTCAGTGCTTTTTTTTTTCTGAACATTCTAGTGAATTCGACTTCACAATTCATTCACTTATTCATTCTTTATTTATTTTGAGTCTCATGTGGCCCAGACTAGCCTTGAACTTCTGACCTTGATGCTTCAACCTCACCAGTGCTAGTACAGGCATGCACCCCACCCCTAGTCTCCTGTGCTGCTTGGGGTTCTAGTCCATTGCCTTGTGCATACTACGCAAACACACTCCCAACTGAGACATATTACTATTTAGCCCAGGCTGGCCTGGATCTTCCTGCCTTAGTGTCCCGCAAGTTGGTATTATAGTCATGTGGCACCACACCAGATTTATTTTCTCTTAAAAATAATTAAGTAAGGGTTTCATATCATTCCAAAGTCAAAACGATAAAAGTACATATAGAGAGGTCTTGCTTCCATTCTTCATTCTGTTATCTCCTGACATGTAATTTTTTTCATTTGTTATTCACCACCCCCATTTCTACTTTGTTAAGACACAAAGAAATTCATATATCTTGCTCTCAATTTTCTCTTCTTTCTTACAAGAGAGCATCTATCTATCCTGCTTCCCCTCTGCTCTTTCTACCTATCTATGTATCCCAGAGTTCCACGGTGTTACACAGAGATTGCTTTTTTTCCCCGTCACTGCAGCTGCACCGAGCTGCATTGTGTCGACGAAACTCCTTGTAGCTGCATTGTGTGGATGGGCCGTGGTCAATTCAGCCTATCCTCTGTGTGTGGACATGGGCATTCAGGACACATTTGTTGCCTCGACTAAATTGTGCCAGGCACTAGAAGTAAAGGCATGTCTGGCTCTGCCTTTGGGAAACTCAGTGAGAGATCGCAGCAATACAGAGCATTCCTCCAGTCTAAAAGGGCGTCTGGATCCACTGGACACAAAGGGCACATGTTAACGGAGAAGAAACGTCCCACACAGTACAGACACAATAACCTCTTATTGACTGGCCTCAAGCTGCTTTTGTAAGGGAAGGTTTTCCTTGGAAGTGGTTAACAGTGATTGATCAGAGTGCCACCAATTGGTCAGAGTGGGGAAAGCTAAAAGAGGTTCTGAGTTAGAAGTCTAATCACCAGATTTCCTTGGAAAGAAAAAGATGTAAATTAATGTCGGTGCTGTTGCATAACAATGAGAGCTAACACCTGTATGAACTTTCTGTTGCTCAGATGCTGTTCTCAGCATTTGGGTAAATAAAAATTGTCCCAACAGTTCTAAGAGATGGACTGTTATTATCTACGTTTTTTTTCCCAATACAGAAATTAAGACATAGAGATCTAAGAGGTCACAAAGAGAAAAAAAGAAAGTCACACAGGCATCACAGGTAGGGTAGTTGGAAATAGTCTAACACTAAGACGTGCATGCCACGGAGATGAAGGATGGCTCAGTTGTTAAGAGCATATCCTGGCTAACAAATTTCAGAAATTCAAGTTCATAGAATTAGACACCATTTTCCGGCTTCCGCGGGGACCAGGAGGGCAGCTGGGTGCACGGATATGCAAGTGCACAAAGCATTCATACATAATAGAGTAATAACTTACAACAACCTTTCTTAGACATGCATGCACCAAAGCTGTCTGTAAGAAACTTAACTGTCACTCTTATTAGTTTTCCTGAGGAATGGAATGGACTTTAGGTACAATCCCAGGTACCCGGAACACTTTCCAGCGCCCAAACCATAATCCAGCCTGCCTGGACTCAGAAATAGGTAACAATATAATTCTGGCTTATACAAATAACAGAATTTAAGGATCCTTCCAAGTTCACGTCAGACGGGTAATGTGCCCACGTCGTAACAAGATTTAATGGGCGGCACATATCACGCAAGTGCGTGAACACCCAATCATCATGCTTTATGAACCAGAAAGGATCAGCTGCTTCGCGGGCTCGGGAAGTATCAAGTAAGTCTCACCATTTTTTACAAAGAGGGTGACTAAACATGCTACAGGTCTATTTCATTTTTGCACAAAAACATAGTACAATTAAAAACTATTATTGAGATTTTGCGATAATTCTCTTGTTTCTACCCTAGCAGATGAAATCAGAAACAAAATTAATGAGCGAACGCTACATTATGCAAATATAGTCTTCATAACTCCACCTTTTACTCGTTCCTTCTTTGTCGGACTGTTTGTTGCTTTCTGGCCATAAGTCGTAAAAAGAAGCATTGCGGCCCCGCTGGCGGAAGTTAGTTTTGCTTTACGGCAACGACGTTATCCAGGGCCGGAAGTTGCTGAGTACAGATGCTGTACGCGGAAAGCTGTAGGTGTCGGGAGCCTTGTCGGTGTCATGGATAAGTAGTTTATCTTTAAAAATAACTTTTTTTTTTGAGTTTTCAGAAAGACAAAGTTCGCCACATGTTAGGAGTTTGAGGCTCTCACCATAACGAGGCCCCTTGTCACACCCACTTAACCGAGTTCCACTCGATCCTTGTGTCAAGACAGTAAGACAGTTCGCCTTTTCACTGTGCATGGTTTTAGTTCTGTTCGTAGGGGGACTCCCAGCCCCGGACGACCTTCCCTCTGAGACTCCAACACCTCCTCCATTTGGTCTCCGTCCCCGCGGGGAGCCCAGCCCACCGGGTGCGATTAGGAATGAAGCTGGACAGTGCAGAAGAGAAGGGGGTCGGCCGCTCCCTGCCTGCAGAAGGGTCTTCCCCGACCCTCGAACGAGCCTTCTCCAAGATTCTGCAGGATCTCAGCCGCCAGGAGTCATCAGGACAAAGCAACGCAAGAAACGCCGCTCTTAAAGACCTCAGTGCTTTAATAGAAGCCGCCGAATGTGACCAATTATTTGAGGGGAGTGGGAGTGGTGGATCCCTCCGGGGGATGCCCGAGATCCTGGGACAGGTGGTGAAAGCCCTGGAGAAGTTCGCAGCACCCAAGGAGAAGGCGGATGGAGGCGAAGAGCAACCCGAAGTACCTGAGAAGGCAACTGAAGTTGGCTCACTATTTCTAAAGCTGTTGGGCAAGGTTGAAACTTCGAAGAGTTCTCCCGACTGCCCTGCATGGAAGACAGGCCTCCGACACTTGTCAGGACCCATGTATATTTTTGCCATCACACACAGATTGAAGCAGCCATGGACCAGTCCAAAATCTCAGCATGTTGCGGGCGAGGTGCTGTCTTTACTGTTTCGAGTTACTGAGTGTAGTTGTGTGGCAGGATTCCTATGCGGAGAAAATGAAGATGATCGAGGGAGATTTGCTGTGGTCTTGGGGCTCCTTAAGCCCCATTTGAATAAGTGAGTTCTGCACGTTTTACTGTTATCAGGCAGATACGGTTGTTGACATAACAGATTTCTTAAGGACCAGAGAGGCTGTGGCTTACTAGACATGAAGTAATCAGAGAGTAGCAAATTCAAGATTAGAACTGAAGTCTTCAAATTCCATTTTCTCCACTGAACAACTACTGCCTTGGGCAATTGGAAATTCAGACAATGGCCATAGAAATTGAAAGTTCTGTCCCATTTAAATGGAATCGAGTATCTTATGCCAAGTACTCATGGGTATTGAGGGAAGACCCAGTCTTTTCATCTTGAATTTAAATACAGGGACTTCTAACTTGTTCATAATCATTAGATAAGGTGATTACTCTGTAAGGAAGTAATACTTGGTATAAAACATTGAAAATGATTTGTGATAATCACACAATAATTCACGTGTGCTATCACGTATTTGCTATGAGTTTTGACTTGCTACTTTCAGTGGGTTTTTTTTTTTCCCAGCCAGGTCTTAATTTTATCTATATTTTATTTACTTATTTTTGAGATAGGGTCTCACTGTGTGCCAGAGGTTGTTCTGACTCTGATTTCTGCATGTGTCACCACACCTGCCCCAGGCAGTTGTTTTAAAGAAGGATTTTATTAATTATGTGTAGGTGTGTGTCTGTACAAGCGTGCTGGTGCTTGAGGAGGCCAGAGGCGTCTGATCGCCTGGAGGTGGACTTAGATATGAGAACTATCTGACATGGTTGCTGGGATCTAAATATGGATCCTCTGGAGAATCAGCAAATGCTCTTGAGTACTGAGCCTTCTCTCTGGCCCCTTCAGGCAGGTTTTCATGTAGCCAAGAATGTTGGTCCTGAGTTTCTGATCCTGCTTCCAAGCCCTAGGCTTACAGGCAAGTGTCTCACCATGCCTGGTATATATATGCACTGTCGTGGATTGAGCCCAGAGCTTTGTAAATGTTAGGCAGGCACCTCACCAACTGAGCTAGTTCCCCCCGTCCTCTGGCTATGGAATGAGGTGAAATAAACTTGGAGTTAAAAGGCTTTTAAGCTAGTCCCTCTTTCTTTTTCTAATTGAGACACCCTTAATTTATAGGCTGACTTTGTACTTCCTATGTAATCCCTGTTGGCCTCAACTGTGAGAGATCCTCCTGCTTCAGCTTTCTGAAATACATATACCTCAGTTTACAGGGGTGCCACACTGTGCCCAGTTCAGTTCTCTTTGTATTGTGAGTAGGACCAGGTCAGATAGCATCCATGAATCTTGTTTTATTATTTGTAATGAAAGGAGATATAGCTGTTATACAGTGAGTGTTTTGAGAAGGTTGGTGCTCATGCTCTGATTTCTTTATTCCTTTGACATTGAAGTGTAAGACACCTTTATTCTTCTCTCTCCCTTGTCAGCATGTGTCACATCATCTGCCAACGTGACCACCACTAACCCACAGGTCTTTTACATAGCTGTAGTTATGAATGGCAGCTATTCATTGGATAAGCTTATATTATCCCAAGTTTGGGCAACTGCCAAGTGCATATAGTATATGTAAATTATTTTAATTCAAATCATAAAATTATTTGAAAAAAGCTAAGCATTGTATAGGAGATATACATACATGGATACATATATGTGTATAAAATCTGTTAAAGACAAGAGGAGGAGGAGGAAGAGAAGCTTCAACTGGTTATTTTTGCTAATGCTGTGTCATTTACTTAGTGTGGTTTTCATGTGTCCTTTCAGGGAAACCTGGAAGAAGAATCCTGCTGTCAAACATGTTTTCTCATGGACTCTCCAAAAAGTCACTCAGCCCTGGCTGAGCCAGCATCTAGAAAAGATACTTCCTCCGTCTTTGCTCATCTCAGACGACTATCAAACTGAGAATAAAATCCTGGGTGTCCAGTGCCTCCACCACATTGTGGTTAATGTGGTAAGCACCTCACCTCCGGCCTACACCGATGGACAGCCGACTCACCCATGGCTGTTCTTCATTTCTCATCTGTTTTTGTTTTAGTCTTTTAACGTTATAAGTAGCTTTCTTTTCATGTTAAGTCATGTAATTCACTTATTCACTTATTTATATTTTTTCCACAATATATTTTTTTCTCTCCGAACCTTGTAGAAATTGTATCCTGCTGGTAAAATAATAAATAAAAGGGTAATTATAGAAGAAACAAGATCATGCTTCATTATGAAAAAAAAATGTGAAAAGGAAAAAAAGCCAAAACACCTATAGAAATTAGCAAGTAACTTTCAAGTAGAAAAAAAGTCAGAATTCAAAAGAGTTTATGGCAAAATGTACAAAATGTTACTGGAGGAGACTCTTCTTAAATATGGAACTTGTAAAATCCTTCAAGAAGTAGAGTAAGGTTTACTGAATCTCCATGTACTCATGTCTAATTAAAAATGATTGGCATTTTGCTCTTTTTGGGAAACTTTTAACTGCCTAATTTGTGTGTTTGCAGCCAGCTGCTGATTTGCTGCAGTACAACAGAGCCCAGGTTCTGTACCACGCCCTTTTCAATCACCTGTACATGCCAGAGCACAACCTCATTCAGGTATGGGAAGATTTACTCCTGACTCTCTGGGCTCTGGTATGAGTACAAAGTGCTATTATGTAAGCAGGAACAGTTTAGAGCTGTTTTCCCTTGGGAGAGTCAGGACACTTGAAAGCTGCTGCCTGACTAAAAGGATCTAAATGTCAAACAGACATCCACCCCTGAGCAGCCAGAGCAGCCCAGGTTTTATCTACATGCATGTAAGCTACATGCCACCTGGGCTTAAGTATGTTTTTAGTAAATGTTCTTCCTCTGTGTTGTTCCATACGAACACATGTATTTGAAACCCCTTGTATGTAGATACCTAGTGTCAGTCTCACAGCAGACAGCAACTGATATATCTAGTATATGTCTATGGTAGGTCCAAGAATCAGTGTCTCAGAAAGTGTTTCAGGCTTGAAACTCCTTGGAAGACATTAATGTGTATATATGACTGTACACATATACCTCTGTATATGTACAACACACCAAAGCTTTATTACAAGGGATAAGCTTGTGACCAACAGCAGTAGGCCACTAGTGGGGTTGAAAGTGGTTTTAGGTGGTGGGAATGGCGGGAGATGTTTATGAAGGGTAAAAAGCACTTTCTTAGGAGGGAGAAGAAGAGTGGAAAGACAAGAAACCAGCTATTGAAAGTTTTAAGCAGCAGTTTTTCTTTGTGCTGGGATTGAATCCCAGCCCTCATACCTGCAAGCCAAGTGCATACTGAGCTTCTTTTACCCGTTGCTTTTGGTTTTTGTGACAGGGTCTAACTCTAGCCCAGGCTGCCCTGGAACTTATATTGATCCTGGCCACCAAGTGCTGGGATGGTGGATGCGCAACACTGTATCCAGCAGCTCCTGGAGATTTTTTTTTTTTTTTTTTTTTTTTTAAATGATTTTAGTACCTTTAATATTTTGGATACTTAGAATCCAGTTATTCTCAGAAATTGTATTAAGATGTTGGAGAAAGGAGATTTTTAAAATCCTCAAACACCTAGAAAAGCCTGAGACCCCTGGAGTGCTGAAAGGGAATGTTTAGACCCCATAGCTTCAGATAAAGAAGTCTGGACCGTCTAACAGTCACTGGAGCAGCTTCATGCGAGCCCCTAAATCCTGTGCATCACTCAGTCTATGGGACTGAAACCTGGGTGGAGCTTTGCCATTCTTCATCTTACAGATTAGTTCTGGAAAGAAAGTTTGAAAATTTGTAGTACTTTGTACCTTGTCCATTAGTTATGGTTATTTTCAGAATTCTGTGACATGCCCTAGGGACCATACATTAATGAAGATCTTAGCAAAACTAGGAATTTTATGAATACAAATAAGTGAACTGTGGTTTCTTTTCTTGTAGGCTGTGCTCCTGTGCCTCTTAGATTTGTTCCCCGTCCTAGAGAAGGCTCTGCACTGGCAGGGAGATTCAGCTCGAGCTACTACACACTGCCACGAGGTGCTACAACTGATCCTCACCCACATGGAGCCAGAGCATCGCCTTCTCCTACGTAGGACGTATGCCAGAAACCTGCCAGCTTTTGTGAAGAAGTGAGTGACTGAACTCACTCTGGTCATATACCCCATATGCAACCTCTTAGCACGGCATCTTCTCTTTATTTGTAGGTTGGGGATCCTGACTGTTCGGCACTTGAAGAGGCTGGAGCAAGTTATCCTTGGTTATCTGGAGGTTTATGATGAACCAGAAGATGAAACTAGGTTGAAGATACTGGAAACCCTGAAACTTGTCATGCAGTATACTTGGCCCAGGTTTGAGACCAGCCTTATCTATATAGTTAGTTTCAGGCCATCCAGGGCTACATAGACCCTGTCTCAAGAAAAGAAAGAAAAGAGAAAAAGAGACAGATGGACAAACACATGGTGGGGGAGAAAGGAAGAAAAATCACAAAAATTTATGGTTATGTAAATGGGGAAACATTGCAGATTTTCTATTGCTGTGGTAAGATATTATGATGAAGGCAATTTACAGAAGAAAGTTTGTTTTGAGCTTACAGATTCAGAGGGTTCAAGTCTATGATATGGGGCAGCTGAGAGCTCACATCTTGAGACACAATGAAGGAACAGAGAACTGGGAATGGCAGTTAAAACCTCAACGTTCACTCCTGGTGTCACACCTCCTAAACTTTCCCACACTGTTCCACCATCTGAGGAGCAGGTACTCAAGTATGGGCCTATTCTCATTCAACATGCTACACAGATGGGCTGTCCTCCAGAGTGTAATTATAGTTCCTATCAAATTACTAAAGGTGAATTAGGACTGATGCTGTAGTTATATGAGAGCGCTTGCCTAGTATGTATAGCAGTCCAGATTTGATCCTTATCACTGCTCCTCCCTAGAAAGACAACCTAAGTGCTTCAATAAGCATGGTTCACTGTGATCATCTTAGTGCTCTTCAGTCTAACTGGGAATGGACTGCTTCAAGACAGTCACTCAGCATTTGCCAGAGCAGTGATTAGATGCTAACTCAGGATACCCTTGTTTAGAAGACATTCTGTATGTGGCTCAATGGTGTCAGGAGGAAACTAGACCCTCAACCGTCAAGTCACCTCACAGTTCTCTTGCATCAAATGGAAAGGTTAGCTAGAAAAGCCAGAGCGCCAACAGTACTTTGGAGTATATTCTTTCTTACAAATATACCAGGCATCAAGAAACTTGCCCCAATGACAGTCTGAGTCATTGTAACTATATTGCATTTCTTCACCTGTTTTGTTTTTTTTTTGTCCTCCACTAAACTCAGGGTAGACAACCACATCTATTATGTATCCCTGAAGCACTCAGTACCTCTTATAAGGTACATTAAGTATTCAGAGAATGAATAGATGTGCAAGTGAAACTGAATGAAGCTAATTTTATATTGGGCCTTCACAGAGTAAAGATAGAGCAGAAGATAGGAAGAGGTAAACACAGCAGACTGTAATGGTTAGAGAAATACAAGCCATAGGGAAACACTGAACAATGCTGAGATGAAGGATGGAAATGTTTTTGCTAGGCAGTTCAAGCCAGAAATGTGGTTTATTTCCACAGTACATGTTACTTTCCACCTTTCATTAAAGTTTAGTTTATAAACTTTACAAAGTTAAAGCCTATGACCTAATGGCATGGTGTAGTCAGAATGTCTTGTAATGAATGCTGTGTCTATTTCATCAAAAGGATTAACACTTAAGAGAATAAGCTAGACTTAAAAGCCAGCAAGGAGCTTGAGACTGAATTAATAAATCATCCTTATTTCTCTTTTAAGGTAAGGTTTTGCTCTGTAGTAAAGCTCAAGTTGTTGATCCTCCTGCCTCCAGGTCCTACCTGCTGGGATTATAAGCATATACCACTCACTCACTACCTGCAGACTGACTTAAAGTCCAGGCTCAGAGTTCTGTGACTGCAGGCTATCTTCTTATCTATGGATAAAAAGGGAGGGGGGCTTGAACAGGAGAGATCTGACTCCCTTAATTCTCAGATCATGCTGGGGACTTAAGCCTTGGCAGGAAACATTGTTAGGTTTTTCTGTCTTTGTTGTTGTTCTGTCCAAGAGAGTCTCGCTGTCCCCTGGCTGCTCTGAAACTGGCAGAGATAGACCAGCTTCTGCTTCCAGACTGTTATATTCTTGTGTGTATCCAGGCAGAATGCTGTAGAAATGTCAGGAACTTTGAGGCTAATAATCTGCAGTCTGTTTGGTCTTGTTTTCAGCAATGTGATAGCAAACATTTGACTTCAGTTTTTCTATGCCTGGACCAAATTTTGTCTGAGTTTCATATTCCAGTTTAGAATATGAAGTTTTTCTTCCCAATTGTAGAATTTCCTGCAGAGTTGTGGTCTTACTGAAGGCTCTCCTGAAACTGATATGTGATGTAGCGAGGGATAAGATCCCCACAACTGAGGCAGCTAAGAGTGTGGTGCTCCAGGAAGCCACGGACTGCCTGATTCTTCTGGACCACTGTTCTCAGGGGCAGGTGAAGGTAAGGCAAGCATCTGCAACTGTTTCAGTTGGCCTATTGTCCTAGGTAATGCCGGTGACTGATTGTAATTTACTATTTGTATGCTCACCTGCATTGGCCATGAGCTTGGAGGGTGTTAGGTCCTCACCTCAGTACTCTCAAGCTCTTTTAATGCTGTTTAACCATTTAGAGCACAAGAGGATCAGATGTTACTGGCACTCGGAACAAAAGGCACACAGATTTTATAAAGTTCTGAGATTGAAATACCTACTGTGTTAGCAAATTCTGTTCTAGACTTTGAATTAAAACCAGTGCTAACAAAGTCCAAAGAAATAAGGCTATGAGCTATCAAGGAATAATACTGTAACTGAGATACCAGAATGTCCCCATGGCAGGAGGGGCACTTCCTACAAGTTTGTTCACATTCTTGTGTGTGCTTGTACAGGTAAGGCCAATGTAGGATCATCATTCCTCCAGGACAGTTCCCACTTTATCTTTTAGACAGGATCTCTCACAGGCATGGAACTCTTCAAGCAGGCCTGGCTGGTCACCAAAACCCTAAGGCTCTGCTTGTGTATCCCGCCCCTGTACTGAGATTACCAGTGGAGGCTTTTCACTGATGACACAGGTTTTAAACATGGTATTGAACCCAGGTCCTCATGCTCATCCCACTGAACTACCTCCCATTTTCCATAGACTTAACCAGTAGGAAATTCTTCCTTTGGTGTCATATTCCACAAAATTCTCAAGACCATAATTTATGGTATCTATGTGAATTTACATGTACTTCAAAGACTAATTTCTCATTTTTACCACAATTAGAAGTCTCCAATTAAAGGACGAGAAATCAGTACTCCCAAAATATGCAGAGCTAGAGCGTGGCTTGCTGTTTTTCAGTTTATTTGGCCATTGCACTGTAGCCCTTGTGTTTTCCAGCCAGGGGTCCAGCTGAAGTCGTTCAGTTTAAAGTCGTTCTGTCTAGAATGACGGAGGTTCTTCTGAGCCAGCCGAGTACTTACAAGCGTGGGACAGTTCAATAACACCTGTTCTGATGGAGGCACTCTCCCCTAGAGCCATGCAGTCTCTCATCTTTTGAGTATATGACAAGAGTAAAGGCTGTGGGGAAACAGGTTTTACAGAAATCAATGCCTGTTTGCTCTCGTGTTCCAGGGTCTTCTGGCTAAAATTGCTCTATCCTGTAAAGACCGCACAGTGGTGAGCTACATCAGGAAGGTGCAGCAGGGCTCTGCAGATGCTCCTGGCGATGACTCTGAAGATGGCTAACCAGCAGGAAAGGATGCTCTTCTTATTCCAGATCATATGGGGGGTGGAGGGTTAAAAATCTATTTTTGTATTAAAATATTTTAAGTTGAAATTTTTATCTCCTCCAGTTTGTACACATAAGAAAAACGGAGTAAGAAAAAAAAACCTGAAATACTGACATTTCTAAGTAAAAATTGTAATTTAGAAATATTTACAGCCAGTGCCATTCCCACTCCAGGAATTCATCTGTTAGGTTCCTGGGGCTCAAGCTGTCACAGCATGTGTTATAAAAATACTCCTGACAACTTTCGTACTCACTCCAGATTTCTGTTCCACCAAAGTGACGTCCATATTAACAGTATAAATACTTTAGGAAATAGAACACAGAAGAGCACAGCTGCCCGTGTTGACTGTTTCAGGATAAAGGTGTGAAGGGAACTCATGTGGTTTTGACTTTGGCCATGGGCCCTGTCTCCTGTTCATATTCTATTTCCACATAGGCCCGTTTTTTCCGCAAAGGTCCTTTCAAGGGTGCTTTGCCTTTGTGTTTGGCCTTATGAGCCTCTTCTTCATTGGAGGATTCATCATCCTGGTCTTCCTCACTGTCAGTATTCAGTTTATCCATATCCTAGTATGTGGAAACAGAAGGTCAGACCAGGAAAGTACAAGGTTTCTCCAGCGCCCGCCCTTCACTGTATAGCCGGTTCAGAACAAACCATGTATTTGTTCATCAGCTCCTGTGTTCAGGTCCCTCCCCTCCTTACCCGCTCCTTGCTATGGCCTATGGCCACAAGCCATTCTTTGTCCCACAGAGCTTACCTCAAAGTCACTGAGGTCACTCTCCTCTACCTCATCATCTTCTACAAACTCTCTTTTCCCGGAATCCTAGAAGGAAGCAGTTACTAGGTTAGACAAAAAGACAAGGAAGATCTAGTTTCAACACCTAGTTTTACCTCTTTCCATAAAGAAGTGACTCAGTCTATACACAGACATTAAAATCCTATTACTCTCAAGGTTAACACAAATTAAAAAGAAAAGTTATAGGTGTATCTAAAAGTCAATACAGAATTTGTTGGCCTGCTAAACCAAAATTAATCATCACAAGAAACAAAAGGCGATGTAATATTGTAAATAATATTGTCTCCGAATTACATGAAAAATGTGTTGTCCTGCAGGTCACTACATTTCAAAACAAGGCAAACCATACTCACCTCTTCTTCATCTTCCTCCTCATCTTCTTCTTCATCGTCAGAGTCACTTTCTGCTTCCTGTTTCTCTAGGGCCTTGTCGAAGGCATGGATGGGGAAGTTGTAGATGTCGCCATACTGAAGAACAAACACAGACCACCTTTAACTAAGCTTGAGTATCACACTGTTCCAATTCCTCTGCTCTACAGACATTATTTATCAACAGTGATGCACTGTATTTTTATAGTTTTCCAGCCTAGGTATAGAATGCTTTTGATATTAACCATCTAAGCTTGAGAAGCAATAGTGACATTTTTAAAAAGAGGCTTTTTAAAAGACCCTAAAAAGATTAGAGAAATATACAAAAGCAAAAGCTCTAGGCATTGAGACGGGTGGAGCTCAGCACATGTGAATTCTCAGGTCCAACCCCAAAATCATATACACCTGACACGGTGACAGACACTTAAAAATCCAGCGCAGGTAGAGGCAGGAGGGTCAAGAATTCAAGCTCATCTTTTGCTACATCTTTTGAATCTGAGGCCAGTCTGGGATATCATTAGATATGGTCTCAAAACAAGATAATCTATAGGGAGTTGGAGAGGTTCCAAAATGAGTGAGGTGCTGAGTGACTGTTTATCCCAAAGACCCCAGAGCCTCAGACTCCAAAGAGCAAAGCCTCTTTCCCAGGGATGGCAAAGCCACCCTCTGGTCTGAGTGCAAATGTTGACAAGGTGTGCAGAAAATGTGTCATAGTTCAGCCTCCCCCAGGATTTAGGGTGTGAAGTATCCCCACCAGAGACACTGCTACTGAGATTAGCTAAGCCTGTCTCCTTGATCCGGCAGTACCCATAAACCCTGCCTCCCTGAGTTGTCAGCTCTGTCTAATAAAATGCCAAGCTTCAAAGAGACTCAGCTCTCTCTTCAAGTCCATCTGACTTCAGCTTCCTGCCTGTCTTTTCATCCCTTTGCTGCCCCGAGTCAGGTCTGTCCCTGGAGGCTGTGCATGAACAAGGGAAAATAAAACAAACTCAGAAAACCAAAACCTGTGGCTGTTATGATGCCTTTATACAGAACTGTTAAGCTTAGAAACATCAACTAGAGATAACAGCCAAGGAGAAAGTCTCATCAGGAAGATAGGCCTACATAGACTTGCTTTATTCCTTGGACAAACTGAGGTGGGAAGGCTCTTTGTGATGTGTTTAAGAATACCGTCTTTTTCATATTTCCCACCAGGTACTATTACCTAAAAAAAGTCTTGTCCCAACACTACTAGCTTTCTCACCGTATCTTGTTTCAGTCTCTCCAGCAATTCCTTCTCAATAGCATTGTCCAGCTGGGCAGCTATTAATGCTTTTTCCTGTAAGAAAAGACCAAACCGTTACTCCATCAGGACTCACTTTCCAGCCTGCACACATGTAATTACCTACTTTTAATAATGGTATAATGTGGTTATGCTACTAGCGAGGCTTTTGCCTTTCTAGCCAGATACATGTCTTTCTCAAAGCCTCTTGGGAGCTTTTCAATGAGAAGTTCCCTTCTATAATTTGCATAAATGTATCAAATAAATAAAATGAAAATAATTCTTAAAACTTTAGCAACAGCACTCTGAATTTCTAACAAACCCTTGAGACATACTACACATATCTGCTTACATACATTTAGGAATGTCACATGGGCCGAGGAAGATGCTCAGTGGGTGAAATGCCTGACCTGCAAATATGAGGACCAGAGTCTGAACTCTCAGGACTCATGTAGAAAACCAGGAGTGATGGCATGCACCTGGAATCATGCCAATAGTAAGAGAGGAGGCAGAGGTAGGTGGATCCTTGGAAGCTTGTGGAAAAGATCCTGGCCTACAGAGTTCAAGCCAATAAAAGATCTCCTCTCAAACAAAAAGTAGAAGGAACCTGAGGATTGTCACCCAAGGCTGTCCTGATTTCCACATGCATGCTATGCCATGTATGTGAGTACTGCATACACACTAAATAAGAAACTAAGTGGCTAAAAAAGAATTTCAAAACAAGATGAGAGGTCTATGAATTCACAGAAAAAGTTTATTTATTCTGAAATGTCTGCAAGAATGTTTGAGAGTTAGGAAATATGGAAACTTACTAGCTGGTCTTGAATAAAAAACGGGTGCATAATTAGTGAAGAATAAAAAATTCACAATGACTGGAGTCTCCAGTCATGTGAGCTGTGTGTGGTGATACACACCTATAATCCCAGGTCAGTTAAGGTCACATACCAAAATGCTGTGTTCGACACCAATGAAATAGTAAATTTGAGAAAGCTCCGTGTGATTAGTGAGAATTAAGTACCAAAGATTACAGAAGGTGCCCCTAAAGGACAGGTCAAAGCGGGGCAAATGCTGTTTGGTGAAAGGGAGAGAGAAAGCATGCCGAGAATGACTGGAACTGGACTTGTCGGGAAGAGCTGACTCCCAAGAGCTGGTCTTGACAACTAATGAGGCTCATCTCAACTCAAGCGTCACCATCAGTGAGACGGCCTGACAGACTACCCTCTGGGCAAAGTTGAAAATTGTGGAGCACGCTTCTTCATGCACACTACCGCCTTTAGTAACCGTGCACCATCACCATCCTTTGGAACAAACCACCCAGCTTAATCTGAGATCTAAGGGTATACAGTTTTTTGTTTTGTTAAAAATAAACAAACAAAAACAATCTCATAATCAAAGCCTTCAATTTTCTAAATAATATAACTAAAATAGCCATGAGGCTAAAGATTTTGTCTAAACTCAGCAGAAGGGAATGTATGAGCCAGGCAATGTCAAAAATCTAAGTTATGTAACATTTTGACTTGAAGACTTTTAGATAGAGTTGTCTAAGATAGTGTTTTTAATTATACCAAAACAACCCAGAGTACCTATTTTCAGCCTTCAGTGAAAAATCGTAAAAATCTGAAGATACAAAGAGACCAACTGTCCCATTAGTGACTCAGCATCATCAATCTCATGCAAGAAACAACTTTCTTACATGACAGTATAGAAGCCAAGTAAACATCAGAACAGCAGATTACCTCTCTTCGTTTTTCCCTTCGTTCAACCTTCTTACTCAAAGGAACAAGTTTCTTCCTAGCAGAAATCAAATACATTATTAGAACATTCAAGTTCATTTTAAAGATAAAAGAATTAGAACTGATCTTATGCGGCGGCTCAGATCCATGCAGTGTGTCAGTTCCTAGGTACTCAGGCTGCCAGTACAGCTCAGTGACTTAACACTTGCCCAGCACATGCAAGGCTCAAGGTTTGCTCTTAGGTGCGCATGTGCACACATACACACTTTCCTACAGCCCAGGTAGCAGTTCACATCAGTAATTCAGCATGGAGGGTAAGGCAGAGGATCACTGAGTTGAAAGCTACATAAGTTCCAGGCCAGCCTGACTACAAGGTGAAATGTTGTCTTAACCCTATACCAAAAAAAAAAAAAAAAATCAGGTATTTTGACATATATTTTTTTTTTAAAACTTACTTATTTTATGTAAGGCATCAGAACCCAGTTATAGATGCTTGTGAGCCATCATATGTGGCGGGTGCTGGGGACTGAACTCAGAACCTCTGGAAGAGAAGCTAGTGATCTTAACCACTGAGCCATCTCTCTAGTGCCCTTGACATGTATTTTAATGTGGTCAGTTTTGTTTTCTTTGGGTTCACTACAGTAAGATCAATGCTTCAGTGAACAAAGAAAAATGAATTTTCTGAAAAAGACTCACATGCTCTTTAACACTCTTTGCTAGTCTCAATAAAAAGCCTTCATCCTCACACTCCTTAAGAAGGGGTTCACTGAGCCTGTGGGTTTCACACCATTAAGGTAGCTTTCAATTACTGAGTGTAGTTCATACTCGTGTCACATTTTAAATCTTTAATTTCAGCTTCTCTCAGGGAACCACACAGACTTTCCAGGTAGGCAGCGTTATCACATATTCTGTTTTAAAATCCTGCAGGACCACCGAGCACGCCTTTAATCCAACGTTTACCATATCATCAGAGATTAGTCACAGCCGAATTTAGGAGGAAAACATGGTTTGTGACATGGTCCAGGAACAGTAATAGACTGTGAACAAAGGAAGTAGCTGGTCCTTACCGTCGCTTCAGTGTAAGTTTCCTGATTCGAATCAGGTACTGGGTTATCTTGGTAAACCTTTGCTTACATTTGTGTCGGATAAAGCGGGGCCAGTAAATCAAATTTTCATCTATTTGTTCCAGTGCTTTCTCATAGTTTTTACTAAGTCGGACCTGTGGAACAGAAAGGGAAACGTGAAGGGGAGGGGCAAATCAAGTTAGGTCTTCCCTGTCCCTTCTGATATTAATGAGGGTGGCTTTGACGTGTAGAGATGGCCTGTGTGGCATTTTCGCTTTTGACTAATGGTCACTCCAGTTTTCTCACTGAGTCTTACCCGTTCCCAGAGACGCCGAGGGAAAGCTGCTCGCTCTATAACCTTCATGTACAGGTAGCATTGTCCTAAAGAGAAGTTAAACAGCTTTGTTATTATTTACAGAGATACTAGGAACATCCTTTATAAATTGTTGTGTAGTCTCCGTACCTTTCTCTTCTTTAATGGTAGCATACTGACTGTTTGCCAGGGGACAGGACGACCGATTGCACAGTCCAGTCAGACTGTATTCATTCCTACAAAAGCCCTGAGTCTTGGTTCTAGGATGCAAGGAAAGAAATGTTTACAACCAAGGGGGCAACTAAGCACAGTTTAGTGTAGGCTGCCATCTACTCACCTTATTTTGAAAGAACAAAATTGCTTGTTTCCTAGTGTATTCCAGATAACCTGCAAGACAGAATGAAAGCCCTTTTGCTCTCGTCCCAAGGATGCAGTTTAATATAAAAAGAGGCAGCACTCTCTGGACTGCAGCTGGCGCTCCATGGCGGGGTCCTTGCCCAGCGTGAGCAAAGCCCTCGCTTTAGGCTCTAGCACCACCACCACCAAAATATAAACACAAAAGATGATGAGGACCAGGTCAGAGCGCGCTGCTGGGTACTTGTGAGGAAAGGGTCTTTAGGGAATGAAAGAAAAGACAGAGCTATCATTTAATAGCCCACACTTGTTCCCGCTACATAGTAACATGTATTCATATATTCTTTAAAAAACAAGAAAAACCTAAATGCATACCCTGTTACTCAGCAACAGAAGTTCATTAAGAGTTGGTAACTATTTTCCCAAAATTCTTTTCAATACACACATACAATCTAGCGTTTGTAGTATGCCCTTATGTATAGTGTTAACAATATGAGCCCTAATACATTTACATTGTACCTTTCCTACTCCTACCCCTCTTCAGTGGCTGTCTCAGTCCCAGTTTCTGGGTCTTTAGTCCAATGTGACTGACTAGTCTATCTGCAGTGGTCTCTCCTTACCTCTCTCCCTCATTTACTCCTCTTTCATAGTATCGTTTACCACGCAAATGCTTCGTCTATTTATTCTCCATCCCCAAAGTACTCATGAGAGCAAAGTTTGTTTGTTTTTTTCTATCTTTTGTCCAACTGTTAACAACCAATTACTACAGTGCCTACACCACTCAGATGCTTGCGATGTACTTACAACTCCTGTAAATAGACGAACGTAGTCTTTTATTTCAGAAATGACGACTCGGGCAGACAATAGAGCAAGATAAAGAAAAGCCTAACACAGGAAAAGCAACGCTCATGGATGAGTGCCCCAGACATGAATTTTAAACATCGCATCTCTCCCGCCTTGCCAGTTCCGAGACAACTGCCGTTCAGATGGCAACTGGCACAAGGGGCTTTACTGCTAAGCACCAGGGACTAAGGAAGCCGATCCGGTGGGCTGAGGCTGGGGTGTCCTGGCCTTTTAAACTCGCCCGGGAACCCACATTCGAAAATCGGGACTCTGGAAGCCTCGCGATCCAAGAAAACAGGAGACAAACCGGCCAGCTGGGTATGAGGATCTGAGTCCTAATTGAGCGAAATCCCACACAAACCCCGGGGCGCCAGAGCAAGAGGAGGGAACTCACATCGTCCGACTGCATGGTGCGGGCGGCTCAGCTCACAGCGTTCGGTAGTACCAGGAGAGCAGCCACGCTTCTTCCGGGGAGCCACTAACCTATCGCGAGAAAATCTCAATTTCCCAGAAGCCCGTGGTGTCTCCGGACGCGATGAGCGTGCGCGTTTCCGCGCCTGCGCTCGCCTGGTTCGCGGCGTGCTCGCCTCCGGCATCTTTTGCCTTAGAGGCGCAGATTCTATAGCGCTCAGTTCTGCTTGCTTTGTCTCTGTGTGGCTGTTTATGTGGACTCGGTCCAAACCTCTAAAAAGCGGGCTTCTTCGTTTTCTCTAACCGAAGGCGCGCCCCCGAGGCCCCATTGTGCACGCGCGGGGATTTAATGTTAATCGCCGTCCCATTTCTGGGCTGTGACTGCGACCCTTGTAAGGCCTGAAGTTGTCAGCTCTCTTTTACCAACCCGCGGGAACTTCTAGCAGCCATCTCCATTCTCACTTCGAAATACACACTATAGTGTCATTGCAGTGAAACAACAAATAACAAACCAAAAAACTTGTATGCATGTGACCCTAACACAGATTTCTCCTGTCCCGGCCTTGCTTCTTCTACAGGAGTGCTAGAGATCAAACTCGGGTTACCAGGCTCAGCTTCTTGAGCCATCATCCAGGCCTGAGAAAAGTGCTTTTAAAGGGTCATACGGAGTAATGATAAAATGAGGTGTGCCTCTCCGATTCTCCCTCCTGAAAGCCATTAAGTAGTTCAAGTGATTTTTTGTTTTGTTTTGTTTGTTTTTGGTGTTTTGTTTTTTGTTTCTCTGTGTAGCCCTGGCTGTCCTGGAACTCTGTAGACCAGGCTGACCTCGAACTCAGAAATCTGCCTGCCTCTGCCTCCCAAGGATTAAAGGCGTGAGCCACCATTGCCCGGCTCAAGTGATTTTTGAAGCCATTGCCATGTGCCAAATACAGTCCCAGAGTCTAGAGATAGAACAATGAAGAGGGAAAATGTTCTACGCCCTCAAGGCCCTTACTTAGTAACAGGATTCTGAGAATTGTACGGTATATTGTATAATGTAATGTTTAAGCACTGCTAAAGGACAGAGCGGGGAACAAGAAGGCAAGAGCAAGGGGCGGGGGGCAAGCAGCCCTTTTTATAATGAGTCAGGCACACCTGGTTGTTGCCAGGTAATTGTAGGGCAGAGCTTAGACAAAATGCTAACAATCTTTGTGGTAAACATCTGGTGTCTTTTAAAAAACCCTTCTGGCTGGATTGCATCTCCAATCAAACAATAACAATATGGCTGCGTGGTACTCCTTCCCTCGCAGCTCTCAAACTGAGTGTGGGTGCAGCCAACAGTGCGGTTGGCCTTGCGTGTGGGTGTAGAGAATCCAGTGCCTTAGTCACACTAGGCAAGGTTCTACCGTTGAGCGACACATAGCCCCGTCTTGAATTATGTCTGGCGGTCTATTTGTTTTTTGAGACAGAGTGTCACTGTAACACAGGCTGGCCTGCAACTCACTGTATAACAGCCCAGGCTGACCTCAAATCTGTGAGCAATCCTCCTGCCTCCCTACCTTCTCCACTGGGATTTCAAATGTGAGCCCCAACATTGAGCTGTGAATAATTTTAAACTGTGGTGGCATCCTCTGCCTTCACAGAGAAAGGTATCCTTCTACAAAGCACCTAACTATGGGGTCTAAAGAGGCCGAATAAAGGGACACAATTCCCTGACAAGATTCCGAACTTCACACAGTAGTGTGTAACGGCACCAGGTTATATTGAGAAAATAATGGGACAGAATAGAGAGCCAGGAGCATTTCCACCCACATGAGGAGAGCAGACACACCAGAATTTGCATTGCATCAGAGAGAGTGTCACTACGCTATTGATGGGACAATAGGTCACTTACATGACAAAACTCACAGAAGGCTACACTAAGGCCATCCTAACTGAAGAAATGAAAACCAGAATTAAAACAAAACAAAAAAAAGGATATCAGAGAAAGTGGCACCTTAGCTACAGAGAGGATGAACTCAAACAGGAGCAGACTTCTATCGTGCATCATAGCCAAAGGGGAGTGGTATATATTCTTTTAAGTGCTGGGGGAAATTCACTTAGAAATGTACACCCAGGTTAAATATTCCCTAGGAATGAAGGAGAAATCATATGACAGGTTCTGATTAAGAAAAACTAAGAGACATCGGTACCAGAAAACCTACAAGATTTTTTTGTTGTTGTTGTTGTTGTTTTTGTTTGTTTGTTTTTCAAGACAAAGTTTCTTTGTGTAGCCCTGGCTGTCCTGGACCTCACTCAGTAGACCAGGCTAGCCTCGAACTCAGAAATTCCCCTGCCTCTGCCTCCCAAATGCTGGGATTAAAGGCGTGTGCCACCACTGCCCAGCAAGAATGGGTTTAAAAAGTTCTCTAAATGATAACAGAAGTTTTAGAGTCTGTGGAGGAAAGCAAAACTGGCCAGAAAGCCATGTATAGCACTTAGGAGTTCCTTCACCTCTGAAGCTTTAGCTTGTGCCTGGCGTATAAACTGAAGACATGACAACTCCAAAGGATGACTTTTACTGTGTAGACATGAGGGATAATACAGTCAGATGCATCAGGAAGAGTCTTGAAAAGAGAAAAAGCAGATTAAGCATGGCCAACACCAGGCCATGAGAGGAGCAGGAGTGCGAGAGAGAAGAAGAAAGGGACCAAGAGAGAGGGGCAAGAGAGAGGGGGCCAAGAGAGCATACCCAAAATACCAGGGTTATACGGGAATGAGAAGCTGGAGAAGTTTAGAGTAGGGTGTGGAGCAAGTGGAGCCACAGGTACTGAGTGAGCCTGGGGACTAGCATGTGCTTTGGTATGCCAGTAGACACCACATATAGCCTTTAGTCCCTTCTGAGAGTGAGGAAGAAATGGGTCCTTTGGTGGAGGGGAACAGGCCCAAGAATTTGGGGGAATGGAGTTTTTGGACCTCACACCTGGTAATGAAAGCAGCATGTGTGATGTTACTTACCGTGCTTCTTTTTTTGTTTTTGTTTGTTTGTTTGTTTTTGGTTTTTTGAGACAGGGTTTCTCTGTGTAGCCCAGGCTGTCCTGGAACTCACTCTGTAGACCAGGCTGGTCTTGAACTCAGAAATCTGCCTGCCTCTGCCTCCCAAGTGCTGGGATTAAAGGCGTGCACCATCATTGCCAGGCACTTACTGTATGTAGTTCTAAATGACACAGAGCAGAGCTTTCAGCTCACACCGAGTTGTTTCCATCCTGTTGACTGACTAGGGGCAGGGACCATGATTCTGGTTGTCCTAAATGATGTGCTCCAAAGGAAAAAAATGATCTCATAAAGTTTTTACAGCTATAGAATGAAAAAAGTTGTAAGGCAAGGTATTTTTCAGATTCATTGGTAGAAACATTACGTAGTGGGTTACAACAAAGCAGGAGAACCTCTGTTACAGGCTTTAGATGCTATCTTGTGACCATCTTAGCTTTTTATGAAGTTCTAATCAGTCAGCCTTGTAGAATCATTACCATAGATGTGTTCCCCCAACCCCACGGTGCATTAGGTCACATAGATGACAAAAGCAATTAGAAATTGTAAAGGGCTGGAGCAGGCATAGTGGTTTGAACAAGAATGGCCCCCACAGGCCCATATATTTAAATGCTTGATTTCCAGTTGATGGAATCGTTTGGGAAGGACTAGGAGGTGTGGTCTTCTTGGAAGAGGTGTGTAACTGGCATTGGGCTGTGAGGTTTCAAAAGCCCACACCATTCCCAGCTAACTTGCTCTCTGTCTCATGCTTGCAGATAAGATGGAAGCTCACAGCTACGGTTCCAGTGTCATGGCTGCCATTTCTCTCCCATTATGGTTATGATGTCTATATAATCCTTGAGAAACCACAAGTCTCAAATGAAATGTTTTCTTTTGTAAGTTGTCTTGGTCATGGCATTATGCCACAGCAATTGACAGAAAGCAAAAGTACCCAAGACAGCAGGTGAAGAAAAATAAGGCTTCTAAATTTCACTCAGACTGGAAGGTGACAATATCAAGCACTACAATTTTAGGTATATGTCAAATAAGACATAGAGCAACCACTAAAGAGGGGATACAATAAAAATACCATCAATTGAATGGAATTCTTAAAGGGTTCAATTAATCTACAAAACGTCAGGAAGTGGAGGGAATCTGCACAGGAATGTTCAGGTCATTGAAGACCCCTTGAAGATCTGTTTTCTCATAAATATTATAAAACCCTAAGCGGTCAGCTCTACCTAGATGAGCTGAAAGCTGAATGCTTAGCACAAAGCATAGGTACACATCTTTATGATTTTAGATTGAGCGTATTTCTTAGAGAATTAAAAGCAAAACTAGTAGGGAAATGGTTATGGTTTAGGTAACCATAAATCTCTATAATAAGAATGCCCCCACCCCCACCCCAGGCTCATATATTCACATACCTAGCCCCCCAGTTGATGAACCATTTGGAGAGTGTCTTAGTTATGGTCCTATTGCTGTGAGGAGATGAAAGGCCCCCGGGGAGGGGAGACCCCCACCCAAGCCATGAGAGCTCACGGCCACCCAAAAGACTCAGAAACACCAATCTTTTTATTTTTTTTTGGTTTTTCGAGACAGGGTTTCTCTGTGTAGCCCTAGCTGTCCTGGAACTCACTCTGTAGACCAGGCTGGCCTCGAACTCAGAAATCCACCTGCCTCTGCCTCCCAAGTGCTGGGATTAAAGGCGTGCGCCACCACCGCCCGGCCAGAAACACCAATCTTGATGCAACAGCAAAAGGTATATTTCAATCAGTGCGCTGAGGCCAAGACCCCGTAATCCACGCAGGGGCAGAGGAGCTCGACCCCTAGCGAGGGGAGTGTAGGATATTTAAAGGAGAAAACCACAAACCAGGGGGAATGGGGAGGGGTAACTGTGGAAAGTGCCACAGCAACTCTTATAAAGGAAAACATTTAATTGGGACTGGCTTAAAGTTTTAGAGGTTCAATCCTAGAAAGAGGTTCAGTCCTGAGAAGAACAGCCTAGCCAAGGAGCAGGAACTTACAGAGGGATAGTGAGGAAGGTGGATTTTATAAGAAGCCCCTACTAAATTTAAGAGTAG